GTATCCAGCAAGTTAGCTATCATCTCCAGTAGTATCAAGATGAAAAGTATGAAGTTACTTAAACAAAATATACTATGCATTACTGGTATGATACATATACCTTGACGTATACACCTTGAAGCATTGGGCATATTTGTTAATGATCATTTAATAGTTTTAGCCACACCTTTCACCACTCTGTTACTACTGTACACTTTATTTATTTATTTTTAGCACATTTTGGGACCATGAATTTATTATTTTGGGACTGTATTATTATGTTATGATAACAGAGGTGTAATGTCATTCTTTAAGATGAAGGTGCACAACATTCTAATTTTCCTTCATGTTCATGCTTGCACACACGAATTTTTAACAGTATTATCATCTATTATTTTATATTTTATCTCTGGGTATCTGCAGCTCTTGCAGTTGTCCCTTCAAGATATCTATATCCCTTGTCCATCCCTTTTTCTTCTGCTCATCTTGTAAAATAATTTTTAAACTAAATTAAATTTGTTCATTTGCCACACGCATTAGAGGTGTGGCTCTCTAGACGTAACTATAAATTTCTGCGAGCAAATAATTCTTTGACATTATTTCGAAGAGTCAGAATGAATCCGGGATATTTGCTGCTGCTGTTTCTGTCGCTGTTGTTTCAAAGCTGTCAGTATTTTGTGTGACTAATGTAATTATATATCAATACTATCTTTTGCAGGCCGTTCTGTCCCCATATCACGTTTCTATGAATTTGCAGGATCAACAGGAGATCAAACTTTTACTAATGTCGATGATCAATCCACATCCTTAAATCTACTAAATAACTTTATCTTTTATGGCACAAATTTCAGTACCGTTTTTGTAAGTGTGAATATCTAAACAGAATCTCCGCTCTTACTCAAATTTGTAACTATCTATGATTATGCAGATAAACAACAATGGCCTCCTTTCATTTTATGCGGCTCATAATGAATACACATCTGATCCATTTCCTTTACCTCAAACACTCATTGCTCCATTTTGGGCTGATGTAGACACACGTGGTGGAGCTGGGACAGTCTATTGCAGAGAAACTGCTGCTAGTGCCATTGTAAGCAAAGTGGCGCAAGATGTCCGGCTTGCATTTCCAAACCAGCCTCCATTTACAGCTAAGTCTGTTGTAATAGTGACATGGTACATAGTTGGATATTATGAGGAGAATGACAACAAAGTATGAATGAAATATTAACTCTCTAATATTTTCACTTAACATAATGTAGCTCAATACATTTCAGTGTGTCCTAGCTACTGATGGAGGTCGCTCTTATGTCTTGTTCCTTTACCTTGATGATGGTATAAACTGGGTCACTGGTGATGCAAGTGGCGGCTCAAATGGCATTGGTGGAACAGAAGCTTATGTGGGATTTAACTTTGGAGGGCAAAATGCCACATATTTTGCTGTGCAAGGCTCTAGGACACTGGCAGTGATTGATATCGAAACTACCAGCAATGTAGAAGTACCAGGGCTTTGGATCTTTCAAGTCAATGAAGTTCAAATTGTTACTTCTACAATAGGTGAGCATAAAATATAATTCAAATTATTATTATTATCATGTGTAATTGTAATTAGGGTCATGTGGGACTCCAGACCAGTTATATGCTAATGCAACTATTTTGAGCTACAACACTACAACTGTTAATAGTACAGCTACATACAGCTGTCAAAATGGCTACAATTTAGTTGGAATTTCTGTAAGGACCTGTCTGAGCAGTGGAAATTGGAGTGGGAGCCCACCTTACTGTCAGATTGGTTAGCTACTTACATAAAAATTACTTAAGCCTGGTTTCCATATAGTTGCAGCTGTTGTATATATTCTGTGGCTAGCATACTGCATACAACTGTTGTAGAGTTAGACCTGATTTCTATCTCCATGATTGTTCGTAAAAAAAGGTTGTTGTACAGGGGCTATATAAAAACCAGCCTTTAACAACACAGTTGCAACAAGCTTGGAGATAAAAATCAGGTCTATCTCTACATGAACAGTTGTATGCTAACCACAAAATCCATACAACAGCCACAACTATATGGAAACCAGGATTTAGATCCATAACATTTTATTAGTCAACTGCACTGAACTAATGGTTGATTCAAGTGGAGCACTGTCTGTTTCATATTCATCAAATTCTTACTCTTACAACAGTAAAGCTACCTACAGCTGTCAAAATGGCTACATTTTAGTTGGAGCTGCTATAAGGACCTGTCAGAGCACTGGAAGCTGGAGTGGGAATGCACCTTACTGTCAAATTGGTTAGATATATTATGCTTTTTTAAAATTATACTTTTAAAAATTTGTAGTTAATTGCACTGAGCTAATGGTTGAATTAAGTGAAGGGCTGTCTGTTTCATATTCATCAAACTCTTACTCTTACAATAGTACAATTACCTATAGCTGTCAAAATGGCTACAATTTAGTTGGAGCTGCTATAAGGACCTGTCAGAGCACTGGAAGTTGGAGTGGGAATGAGCCATATTGTCAAATAGGTTAGCTATTATAATTCCATTTTCATCTTTAATAAACCTTTCTTATAGTTAATTGCAGTGAGCTAATGGTTGAGTCAGATGCAGTTGGAGGACTATCTATTTCTTATTCATCAAACTCTAGATCTTACAATAGTACAGCTACTTATAGCTGTGAAGATGGCTACAGTTTAACTGGAGTTTCTGTTAGGACTTGCTTGAGTGATGGAAATTGGAGTGGAGATCCACCTTACTGTCAATCAAGTTAGTTAGTGTTTCAAAAAATTAATATTAAAAATTTTATAGTTAACTGCAGTGAGCTAATGGTAGAGTCAAACGCATATGGAGGACTCTCTGTTTCTTTGAGCAGTACAAATGTTAACAGTACAGCAACTTACAGCTGTACATATGAAGGATATAAACTGGTTGGTAATGGAGTAAGAATATGTCAAGCTAATGGAAGATGGTCAGAAGTTGAACCAAAGTGTGAAAGTAATTTCATTGGACTACTGTATTGTGTATCATTCTATCTCATTAGTTACTGCAATAAATCTTTACGGAGCATCAAATGAATCAAGTATAATTATAAGTTGGGATTTACCTTGTCAATCGAATATAACAAGAGATTGCATTGTCAGCAACTATACTGTTATGGTGACTGATACAGCTACTGGTCAATATTTTATAATTATTACTACCAAAATACCAGTTGTTCTGAGTAATTTAAGCTTAAACACTAATTATTCTATCAGGATAGCAGTGTTTACAAATAAACTGGGCCCATTTTCAGATAACCCTTTTTACATTTCAACACATCTCACAGGTACATAATCTTCATAGTATTAGTATTTAATACTTTATGCAGCACCAACTCGCCCAGTATTTGATTTGAAGATAAACTCATCATCTCCAACCTCTTTCATGATATCTTGGACTCCTCCAATGCTAGATTACTTGAATGGTCCTAACATTACATATGTTATCCTAGTTACATCAGCAAACAGTTCTTTTAATTATACCAGCAATACTAATTATGCAACCATTGTCAGACTCCAGCCATTTACTACGTACTGGTGTAGAGTAGCAGTTAGAAACAATGCTGGAATAGGTCCATATTCACTTAGCATTGAGATCAAAACACTAGAAGATGGTTAGTCAATACCTTTTGAATATTTATATATTCTTTAACAACTAGTGCCTTCAAGTGCTCCTGTCAATGTTATTTTCCTCTTTATTAATGCCAGGACACTTTTTATACAGTGGGGCTTAATCCCATTGTCAAATCGTAATGGTATTATCATGTATTATGAAATTTTAGTCATTGTTGGGGAAAAAACTTATATTTATAAGACATCTGACAGGAACATTACAATTGAAAATCTCCAACCATCATATACTTATAATATCTCTGTTGCTGCCTTTACTAATGGGAGAGGTCCTTTCAGTGAACCTATAAGCATTACCATGCCTGATGATGGTAGGACATTAATATGTTGACTGTATAACTATCACATTCCCTTTTACAGTGCCAAGTGGAAGACCTCAGTCACTAAATCTTGCATCAGCAGGAGCTACTAGTCTTAGTATTAGTTGGAATCCTCCAGATGAGGAAGACAGAAATGGAAATATCAATGAGTATATTGTTAATGTTACTAATACAGACACGCTAGTTACAACTCAGTTTACTACTGCTAATAATGACTTCAGTATTGTTGACTTGAATCCAGATACAACGTACAGTCTGAGTGTTGCTGCCAGAAATGCTAATGGAACTGGTCCTTTCACTCAATCACTACTGACAAAAACTGGTCAATCAGGTTAACAATACTAATTACATTGTCACCAAATTATTATTATCTATTTTACAATTATTAGCTCCCAGTCAACCTCGCCATTTGAAAGCTATTGCCATCAGTTCATCAAGTATACTGTTAGCTTGGGAGTCCCCTTCTAATCCTAATGGCGATATTACAGAATATTATATTAATATAACTGATGAATCAACCAGCACTGTTGTAATGCAAGAAACTAGTAATATCACATATGTCATTATTACTGATCTCAGCCCAAACAATACTTATCGCTGTCATGTAGCAGCTGCTACAACTTATATTGGTCAAGTCTCTGAATATGTTTTTGTTAACACAGGGGAAGATGGTAAGATAAAATGCAAAATGAATACAATAATTTAATTTTTAATGCACACAGTTCCCACAGCTGCACCGTTATCAGTGTTGCCTATAGCGATTGATTCAACAATAATATCTATCTCATGGTCACCTCCAAATATAAATACAACCAATGGTGTCATTCGTCATTATAAAGTCTCCATTATTAATATGGCAACTGGATCAGAGCAAACCCTTACTACAGCCAATTCTCACCTTACAATACTCATGCTGACCCCATTTACTACATACAGTGTGAGGGTAGCTGCTTTTACTATTGGCACTGGGCCATATAGTAGACCAATTAATGTTACAACAGCCAAAGATAGTAAGTTAAATATTACATTAATGATACTATTATTGCTTTTTAGTGCCAAGTGATGCACCAAAAAACTTTGATGCCACCACCAATGGATCCAACTCTCATTTTGAAATGGTCCCCTCCTAACACTCCTAATGGAATCATTAGATACTATCAAATCACATTATTGGATCAAACTAACAGCACTGTATTTCATTTCAATACTACAGAGTTTGAGTTTACTGTCAATGAATTGCTGTCCTTCACTAGATACACATGTTATGTCTCTGCATTTACAATTGCTGCTGGGCCTGCTGCTGTGTTGACCATTATGACACAAGAAAGTGGTAATTACCTATGAATTATTTTAGTCAAAATGATGTATTTATACATAGATATTAGAGCATATCTAATATCATTTACTCTATTTAGTATATTTAATATCATTCATTTACTCTATTATCTATGATTTATACTAATTTTGTTATTACAATTTTTAGCGCCAAGCAACCCTCCAACCAGTATAATGCTGAAAAGTGTCAATTATACTTCAATAAATGTGTCATGGAGTCCTCCAGCTGTGCCTAATGGATTAATTCACTTGTACATCATTAGAATCAGTAATGGTCTGTTAGTGATTGATTATAATTCAACTGAAGAGTATATGCTTATCACTGGATTGATGCCTAATCAAAATTACACTGTATCTTTAGCAGCAGTTACCATTGATGTAGGACCATTCTCAACTAATCTGGTTATTACACTCCAAGAAAAAGGTATTTAATAATAACCCAAATTATATGTTATAGTATTCCTTGTAGTTGCTACTGATCCTCCTACTGGTTTATGCAATGAGTTAAATGGTAGCAATTTAACTTTGCACTGGCTGCCACCTCCTGATGGCTCAGTTGATGGAATTATCAGTGGGTATAGAATCAATTGCACTGGAGAAAATGAGCACTTTATATCAAAGACAGTATCAATGACAAGAGCCTCTGTTGATCTTGGAAAGGACACATATTACACTTGTATGGTGTGTATTTTGACATCTGCTGGCTGTGGCCCTTCAGGAGTTAACTACATCAATACATATTCTGGATGTAAGTAAAAATGATAATTTTATGATAGTAAATATTGGTTTATAATAGTTCCTGTTGGGCCTCCTCAATCATTGAGTGTCAATGCTACAGACCTATCAATACTGATAGACTGGGAGGCTCCATTTGATCCATTCAACATCATAACATCATATGCTATCACGTATCAGTTACTTGATACTCCAGTGTCTCTGGCAGTGCCTCGTCCTGTAGCAACAGTGTCTGGTATAACGGATACAATGTATTTATTGGAATTAGTTTTATCAGCATCTTCGTACAACATAACAGTTTATGCTAATACCTCTAATGGGACTGGAATAGAGAGTGAGCCAATAGCCATAACTACTCAGAAATCAGGTACAAAAAGTACAAATCTCTTTAACCTATGATATGTGTTCACAACAAAATTGAAAAGCATTTTTAAAAATATTTTGTTTAGTTTTGCATATTTGTATTAAATAGATCTAAATTGTTTTAGGTTCAAGTACTCTTTTAAATTTTATGTGTTCCGCTGCCAGCTCTACAGATATTGATTGTTCATGGAAAAATTTATCAAATGATGACTATCAGCTTCATTACTCCATCCTCCCCAGTTTCAACTATTACACAAACAATGAAGGTACTATCAATGAGGGACGTATTCATGACTTGAAGCCATATGTTGGATATGTAATTTCACACCAATTGTCTAATACCAATCTAATGAGCACCGTTGTTTTAACAGGACCTGAAAGTAAATGAAACAAATATATACTGTGTTTACCTAGTAATACCTTTCTTTTCACTTGATAGTTCCCACTGCTTCTGTTGAAGACATATCATTTAATGTATTATCTCCGGATTCTTTTACTCTATCATGGAAATTACCTCCTAAAAATGAGTGGAAAGGAATAATAGAATTTTACAATCAAAGCTGTACCTATAAAATCAATAGGAGAAAATAAAGAATTATCTACATCTTTTAGTAAAAGATCAGCAGGGAACAACATTACATCACTCAGGCCAAAAGATGTTGAAATTACTGTAGCTCCTCATGCTAATAATCCTGATCCAAGTTTAGCAATGGAGCCATTTGCAAGGGAAGAAGTGATAGTTAGTAATCTGGAGCCTGATTTTGAATACTCTTTGACAATATCTATTGATAATGCTGCTGGGAGGGGTCCATCTTCATCTCCACTTAACATAAGCATGCCTGAAGCAGGTATGGATAATTACATATACTTATTGCATAGTTGTTAACTATTGCTTATATAGCTCCTAGCGGTCCTCCACTTAACCTAGTGCTTTCAAATGTTCAACAAACATCATTCACTGCCACTTGGTTGCCACCAAATTTAATAGAAAGGAATGGAAGAATAATTAGTTACATGGTGCAAGTGACTAGAGTCAATCTACTCCAAACAAGATCATTTGAAACACAGGACACCCGCATATTTTTACAAGGTAGATCTATAAATGTGATTTTATAAATAATGAGACTTGTAACAATAGGTTATTATCCATATGAACATATCATGATAAAGGTGGCTGCTAGAACATCAGTTGGACTGGGACCATATTCTTCTGTACTTGCCTTTAATACAAATGAAAATGGTATTTAGTTGCTACTAAATCTGTGTAATATTAATTTATATCATTTATTTTGCTGTGTAGTTCCAAGCGTACCAGTATCATTTAGCGGAACTGTTATTGGCAGTGATCAAGTTATATTGAGCTGGGATATGCCTCAAACCACTGATGGTGTCATATCTCAATATCAAGTTATATACTCTGGATACACAATAGCTTCTAATGTAAGCAAAAAGTGTTTAGAATCCAACAAATAAACTTTTTATGCAGATACCAGTTATTGGACCAATACAAATAAATGTGCCCGTGAACCGCCTTCAGTTGTTTCGTCTAAGAAACGGATTGGTTTATCACTTTTCAGTAATTGTAATTTTTTCTATATACAATATGAGCTTTAATATTATAGGTGAGGGCTAAGAATACTGCAGGATATGGTCCCAATGCTACCACTATAATAGTACTGCATGATAGTATTATTGGTGAATTAGGTGGTGCAACTAGAGATGTATCTGGAGTTGATGGTAGAATGATAGCTGTGTCTGTTCTAGCAGGACTGTTTGGTTTACTTTTGTGTCTGTTTTTAAGTATTGGATTGATATGCTGCTTGTGTGCAAGGATGAGGCAGAAAAAGAGAGAAAAGTAAGTCAATCAAATTTTGATTTTGCTTTGCTTCAACAGTGACTCAAATCACTATGAAAGTAATAAGATGCACATAAATGGTAACACTGAAATAAAAGAAATGTAAGTGTCAAAATTACTGTTTAATGAACTATACCATTATAATTATCAGATCATTTGCTAATATAAAAGATGCATCTCAGAATGAAGCTGGCTCTCAGCAGACAAATATGTCAAGGTATTGAAGTTGCCTTGATTCATAATTAGATCTACAATTTTATCTTTAGTAGTGATAATCAACATGTTTATGATGAGCCAAATATAAAATTAACTACATCGACTGTGTAAGTTAAATTTGTTGTCGCACCACTCCCATGCATTGCTGAGTTCATTCATGGTTCATTTCTAGGCCTGCTAGTAATGATTATGATACTGTAACTAGCCCAACTGTGGTAAAAATATTACAGATTGTAAAATAATTTTACTATAAACTTTTATAGAAGCGTATCTCACCTGAAGATACAATGGAGGTCAATTCGTGACAAGTCATTTGATATAAAACATTGCTAATTATATTTTTGTGTGCAAATATATATGTTTTTAAAGTAGTACTGTAATTTTGCAGTAGTTTAGTACTAGATTTATAGATTTATAGTTTTGCACAATGTTTTTTTTATTTTTGTAGTACAAATAATCTCGACTACTCATCAATTGTAATACTGCCCAAGTTTATGATTAGCCAAATAGGATTTAAATTAGGTTATCAGTTTAAAGATGTTGATAATCTACTTTCCAATCATATCACTCTTTTGGGCATGATCTTGAAAAACATGCACATGCACTACATGTACACTAGACTACAACACTGGCATTTCATTGTCTCATTAGTATTTAGTAATGATGTCAAAAAGGGAGGCAATCATTCTATAAAACTCAGAACAATGCATTTTATTACAACACCCATTGAAAATATCACTAAGAATGAGTAAATTTACTTTGACCTGGGGTGTGAATTACAATTGTAGATCTATTTGTAATTAATAGAGGCTCAATTACTATTACAGTTGCATAATTGTAATTGTAATTAAGGCTTAAACCTGAACAGAATGTAATTAAAATTTATTTTGAGTTGTCATAGTGTAATATACTGACTACTGAATCAATACAGATGCTTAGAAAATGCTCTGAATCTACCTCAATAGGCACTTCACATATGATTATATGTATATGCACTGTACACTTGTAGATGGAAGTGTGCCAATCAGGGTTATTTCCAGTATAATGCCCAGCTCATGACAATTAGCTTACTCAGTAGAGCTTTT